GTAGGATGATACTGGTTGATTTACTTCTCTTACTGATCTAGTACCAATTCTCTTTCTATTCTCTGTGTATGTTCTTGTCATATGGTTATACTTGGTTTTGTAATATTAAAAAAATCCGATTTATGGCAATCCTGTCATGTAGGGTTTTCTTGGCAAGGATGATACTGATTGATTCATTTTTTCTTACTGATCAATGCTCTTTTCTTACTGACCAATGCTCTTTTTAATCTCTGTGAATGCTCTTATCATATGGTTATACTTGGTTTTGTAATAAAAAACCCGAAAAATCTGACTTATGGCAGTCTTGTCATGTAGGGTTTTCTTGGCAAGGATGATACTGGTTGATTTACTTCTCTTACTGATCTAGTACCAATACTGTTTTTATTCTCTGTGGATGTTCTTGTCATATGGTTATACTTGGTTTTGTAATAAAATCCCAAAAGATCCAACTTATGGCAATCCTGTCATGTAGGGTTTTCTTGGCAAGGATGATACTGACTGATTCATTCTCCTCACTGATCTAGTACCAATGCTCTTTTTATTCTCTGCGTATGTTCTTGTCATATGGTTATACTTGTTTCTGTAATATAAAAAAAATCTGACATGGCAATCCTGTCATGTAGTTTTCTTGGCAAGCTTCATAAGAGGGGGTTTGCCATGGCCATCCCCTGAGGCTGAGAGGGTGTAACTTGTCCAAGGTCGCCCAGTGGGTTTCCATCGCCAAGCAGGGATTCAAACCCAGTTCTCCAGTCATAGTCCAACACTCAAACCACTATGCCACACTGGCTGTCATATATATTTATATTATATTATAATTCATACTAACAACAATCTCATTTCTTCAGAGGAGGGAATTATTAAAAGCCTTGGGGGCCCTATCTCTGCTGATGAAGTCCTAGAAGTTTTTCTAATTTCTTTTGCTGTCAGCGGTAACCTATTTCTTTTGCTGTCAGCGGTAACCTATCCCATGATAAGCTCAAGTTGAGAAAATATGATGCCTATTTATTATTTTTGCTTATTGATATACTGCAGTACCAATGTTCTTTTTATTCTGTGTGTATGTTCTTGTCATACGGTTATACTTGTTTTTGTAACACCCCCCCCCAAAAAAATCCGACTTATGGCGACCCTAAGGCAAACCTGTCATGTAGGGTTTTATTGACAACTTTCTTCAGAGGGGGTTTGCCATGGCCATCCCCTGAGGCTGAGATAGTGTGACTTGCCCAAGGTCACCCAGTGAGTTTCCATGGCCGAGCTGGGATTTGAATCTTGCTTTCTCCAAAGTCATACTCAAACCACTGCACCACACTGGCTCATCTAAATTATCACTTACTTTTGGCTAAACTACATAGCATTATACCAGTGGTACTCAAACTTTTTAGCCCCCTTTACATCTACATGTGGACATTGCCACCTCCTCAATGTAGTATATGGATAAAAATATTTTATTTAGTATGCGTATTTTCATTTGCACATTGATTTGCATATTCACATTTTAACATTTTGTAAGGAAATAACATCGTTCAAATTTCAACAGTTTTATTTAAGTAAATTCAGTATTGAACTCAATGCATGTGTAATACCATACATAATTTTAAATTTCAAATAAATTTTACACATAAAAAAAGTTTGGGAAGAGAAGTAGCAGGATAAGTCAGGGCCTGCGAGTCTTGCACCCCCACTTCAGGCTCTCACCCCACAGTTTGAGAACTGTGTTATACTATTAGCCAGAGGAAGAGAAAACGAATAAAGTGATCCTATCCATCACTATTCTGAAGAAAGTCCTATGGAGCTCAATGATGCTTACTCCCAGGCAAATGGAAAAAAGATTGCAGCCCACTCTTCTTTTTTCTTGGCAATAAGTAGTCTGGCCCACCATACTACTATATACATACTGCATATTGGTATGCCATAATGGCACCAGATTCTGTCTGATCTTGGATGCTAAGCAAGGTCAGCCCTAGTTAGTACTTGGATGGGAGACTGCCAACTGTAGGTGCTGTAGGCTGTATTTCAGAGAAAGGAACTGGTAAAATCACTTCTTAAGTATTCCTTGCCTAAGGAAACACTATTGCCCTTATAGGATTGCCATAAATTGACAGGTGACTTGAAGGCACACATACACACATGTGCCATATTACCAGTAGGTTGTATGGTATACTGATAGAGTTGTTTCAAGCAACAGAGACAAAATCCAATCAAACTCTTATCTAACATCTGTCAAAAAATATGGAAAACAAAACAATCCACAGATTGGAAACACCCACACATTCCAGTTCCCAAGAAAGGGGTCACTAGGGATTGCAGTAACTACAGGACCACTGTATTAATCTCCCATGAAAGAATATGGAGAAACAGAGTGGTTTCCAATTGGCAAGAGGGTCAGGCAAGGCTACATTTTATCACCATGTCTGTTTAACCTGTATGCTGAATGCATCTCATATCATATGCAAAGATGGATTAGCCTCTGAGGAAGGAGGTGTGAAAACTGGAGAATGTAACATCAACAATTTAAGATATGCAGATGACACCATACCACCAACAGAAAATAGCAAAGACTTGGAAGGATTACTGGAGAAAGTCAAAGAAGAAAGTGCAAAGGCAGGTTTACAGGTGAACATTAAAACAAAAATGTTCACAGATGATTTACAGAGCTTTAAAGTAGTCACTGAAGACTGAGGGCCTTTGCAGACTGCCAGAAATAGTGCAAATTGAGTCCACTTTAAGGGTTAGGGTTAGTGCTAGGGAATCATGGGAATTGTTTTTTCTGAGAGAGCTCTGGTGCCACAATAAAATACAGTTCCCATGATTCCCTAACCCTAACCCTTAAAGTGGACTCAATTTGTACTATTTCTAGCAGTCTGAAAAGGCCCTAAGGCTGCATCCACACTGCAGAAGTAACACAGTTTGACACTGCTTTAAGTGCCATAGCTCAATATTATGGAATTCAGGGATCTGTAGCTTTGTGAGCTATTTATATAGCCTTCTCAATCAGAGAGCTTTGGTGCCACAGCAAACTACAAATGTCATGAGAATGAAAGTGGTGTCAAACTGCATTAATCCCATTGTGTCACAGCAACTTATAGAGAGCTGAAAGATTTCCAATACTTTGGCTCAGTCATTAATCAAAATGGGGACTGCAGTTAAGTAATCAGTAGACTAGGACTTGGAAGGGCAGCTGTGAAGGAACTAGACGAGATCCTGAAGTGTAAAGATATATCATTGAATACCAAAATCAGGATTGTCAATGCCATTGTATTGCCAATGTCTATGTGTGGTTGTGGAAGCTGGACAGTCGGGGAAACCACAGCCCTGAGTCTGCAAGACCTGAGCAGGGCTGTTGATTCCAGGGTGATTTGGAGGCCTCTCATTCATGGGGTTGCCATAAGTCGAAGCTGACTTGATGGCAGTTAACAACAAGTTGTATGGGGGAAATTGCTATATACAGGAGACGACATTAGAATTGTGCCAGAAACTGATGTTATAAATTGTTTTATACACATACAGGGAGCATATTGCTGCCCCAAGATACTGTTGGACTGCTAAGTACCCAAACCAGCCAAAGTAACTAATGGTAAGAAAGGAGATGAGTTACATTAAAACGGTCACACATTCCTCATCCCTGTAATATGTCTTGAGGCAACTTGAAAGCACTAACCTAAAAAGACAGTCTCTACATACCAAAATCAGATAATGATCCAATTTATTATTAACATTTTGGCTCCATGTCTATTTATTGCATTTAATCCAGACATATAAACACAGAGTCAGCCAATTTTTACTTAAAGTACCTTTAATTTCAGTGTGTTTGCTCCAAGTAAATGTTTGTAGGATCACTGCCTTAGGCTACTAGAAGAGAAATCTTAGGCTGTTTTCAGATGGTAGTTTATACTAGAAGACATACACCTTTCCAATCATTTTATGATGTATCTTTCAAAAAATATTGTTAAGATTGTGTGATTAACCTGCATCTTATCATGGTTTACCCATTTTCCCTCATAATATGGAAAATTTATTACAGGTGGGAGCCAGAACTGAGCCCAGGCCGTCATGGTTGATAGTATCAAAAGTCGTAGGCTTTCATGGCCGGCATCCATAGTTTTTTTGTGGGTTTTTTCGGGCTGTGTGGCCATGTTCTAGAAGAGTTCTAGAAGAAGAAACTCTTCTAGAAC